AGACCACACGACCACCGAGGCCCCCACAGCAAGCTATGAAAAGCCTAGAAATGACAACCACACAATGACAGGCTCCTGACTTTTGGACAGGCACATATAGAATGTGGAGAGGTTAAACATGTTTGCAAGCGCCCAACTGTCCTCTTAAGGTGTATAGCAATACCATTTAGTTAGGTTTTAATTTATAGATAACAAAATCAATATGTATACCGATAAAAACAATATTCCAAGATCTAATTACAATGTTAAATTTGTAACCTTTTAGAATAACTTTATTTAAATAATCGATAAGTCTGTCTGTCTGTCTGTCTGTCTGTCTGTCTGCCTGTCTGTTTGTCTGTCTGTCTGTCTGTCTGTCTGTCTGTCTGTCTGTCTGTCTGTCTGTCTGTCTGTCCTCTAGTTAACGAGTTTAAGTTTACGGAATAACACACAGCTAATTTTTTTTTGCAAGTTATAGGAAAATCATTATATTTTACAATCATGATTGTCGACGTAAGTTACCTTGGTCACGAATTTTAAATTTCGTGTTTTTACAGGGTACCCCCAGATACCGTATTGTATGGGGAATCTTAACATGAAAAATAAAATTATTGCGCTCTTTGTTGGTGGTTAAAATAGTACTTATAAAATAGTTTATATATCAAATATATATCATATATAAAGCGGAAAGTATTTAAGTGAAATTTTACCCGAAATTTACCATATTTTCATCGAAAGCAAAATTATTACGTGTATCGTCACGATATTTTAAAATCTGATTAAAGCAATAAGACACGGTGCATGTGTATTCCAAATTTCATGTGTGAAATAAAATTCGTTTTGAAGAAATTCTAAATTACAAACGCAAATTAAGTCAACATTTTGGCATTGATTAAACACAGATCTCGTGCCATTAATCATTTAGCTGCTTACACTATTAGGTCATTAACAAGGACAGTGGTCACTCAATACATTTCTCAATCTTGCTTGTTGTGTGGTTGCTTTATTTGTTTTGAATAGCCAGCTAACTTTGTAGATTGTTATTTTCTTCGGAAGAATATGTTTTGTGTCTGTTTTTCAAAACTTTAAACTTTTTATTGAATAGATATTTTTGTTATAATTGTATTATAAGAATCAAATCGGTTGGTTTCGTTTCACATCCGGAATATGGAACATCAAGTCTATATTATGGTCTTGCATGATGTTTTCTACCTAAATCCCCCTCGGTGTGAACGACAACAAAAATCTACCACCGTTCGTGCTATAAAGTATACACCAGCAGACACAACTGCAGTAATTTCAAAGCTGAATTGGCAATAGGTTTGTCCGAGCAAACCCCTGTAGTCAATGACCTATATATATGTGCAAAGCATGCATGTTCAATCTATCTACCATGTTTTAAATTGGAATGTTTGGTTTTTTTTTCTGTGAAAATGATACAATTAAAAACAGGTAGGAAGTTTGTAATAATGAAACAATCCAAACGAAAAAACTAACGGTCTCATTTATGACAACAACAAAAAACAGATAAAACAGAGAGCGACCTACGACAACCACTGAATTGCAGGCTCCTGATTTTGAACAGACACACACAGAATTTCGCGGTGTTAAACATGTTTGTGATCCTTTGACCCTCCCCTTACCTGGACAATGGTATAACAACACAACATAAGAACAATCTGCAAAAAAACAGTTGGAAATGGCTTTAATCATCAAATCGGCATGAAGCACAAAAACAACTAACACGAAGACATGAAGACAAAAGACACTAACAGTATTCGCCGTTAGGGTACGACCCGGCATTTTATATTCGGGGAAAAAGGGGGGGGGGACCTGGCGGCAGGAGAATTTTTTCCGGATTGACCATTTTTTTCATCTGTTGAGCAGGCACTACCCATGCTTATTTTTTCCCGCGGCTTCAGTTTGCTGAACGAAAATTTATTTTCACTTTTGTACACATTTGTATCCTCCACTATCCTGCATTTCATGTTGCAGAGTATTCATTTTCATCCTGTGCAAAGTCATTTAAAATTCAGTTAATACCAGGCCAAGTTATTCATTTTCAAAGTCATCCTCCCCCTTTCGAAATGAAATGGTCGTCCCCTCACTGAAAGCTAATGAAAGGACGTCATCAATAGTCTGAGAAAAATATGATCATAAACATCATTAACGTAAAAACTAGGATTCTAAAGGTAAAGCATGCTTTAATTACTGACTGAATTATGTCGAAAGTCTTAGAGAAAAGGATTATAGGCCTACGTTCTTTATATATATATAGCATATGCCTGTCCCAAGTCAGAATCGAGCCGATATTTGAGTGGTTGACGTTGGTTCATGTCTGTCATGTCCCTGGGGTTCGTTCAGGATCATAGCTGCTACGTAGGGCTACGTAGATTTCGACTACCGAACATATAGCTAGCCTAGCCGCTAAATAGACCTAGATAGCATAAAAAGTTCATGCTATCTAGAGAATCCAAAATGGCGTCCAGGGTTGCGTTCAATATCGTAGCGGCTACATAGGGCTACGTAGATTTATGACTATTGAACGTGTAGCTAGCCTAACTGCTACATAGATATTGATAGCAGCTAGGCTAGCTACTCGTTCAATAGTTATAAATCTACGTAGCACTACGTAGCCGCTACGATATTGAACGCAACCCTGGATAGCAACGTAGCATATCATTCAACACAGATAGATCATCTAAGACATATATTGGCTAAACTAGCTGCTTTTATATTGAACGCAACCCAGTAGACAATGAAACGGATTAACCACTACTGATTAAAATTCTGATCTATATTAACTCGCCTGCTCGTATATATATCGGATATTTACCCAGAAAATCATTACACACTGAAACACCTTCTATGAGGCGCGGCGTAAAGTGGGGGTAACTGCACGGAAGAACGCGAAATAAAATTGTCATTTCACGATGAACGAACAATTAAAAATTTCTTGCACGTTGATCTTTTTACCGATTTCACGAAACACGGTAAATAACGAACCTTTTTCACGGCTGCACGTGAAATAAAAATGGCAAAACACGTTGCACGAAAATAACCCTTTACCACCCTCTTCTATCAAAAGACGCGAAAATAACATTCTGGGAGGGCAACTTATAAATGTTGATATATAACAAAAAACATGTCTAAAAGATCACTTGTATCGAATCTTATGTGAAAAATTTCGAATTTGGAAATTTTAATAGGTCAAGGTCACTGTTATGTAACAGCTGAATGAAAATTGTAAACGTGCACCCTATAAGTACAAATGTCAATCTCGAACCATATTTTTCAACAGAAATATCAAACTAGTCCTAATATAGAAACTATAGTTATAATCCTTTGAAATATTCGAATTTATTTTGCTATTAACGCATATATGTAGGAGCGGCCTACTGTCTAAACGTGACTCTGCGTTTTCTATCTGCAATCAGATTTTTAAAGCACCATTGATAATTAAACAAACAAACTTTTGTTTGATAAGATTGTGTGAAACAGTGTCGAAAATTCATGACAGTCAGTATACATGTTTAAATAAACTTCCATTTTTAATTTTGTTGGAATATAAAATATATTTATAATCTCTAGCTTATAAAAGATAAAGAAAGAAGGAAACGGCTAGCTCTGAGTAATATTTTGCATAATGTTCAGATTAAGTCGGTTATAATCCCATGTTACCAGGATCTCAAATAAAGACAAAATTATAAACCATTGATAAAATCAACGCTGATTGATCTATAAACAACGACACTCGGTAATATTACATAATCGTAAAAAATTATAAAATGAAATGAAATAAGTCGACGAGATGAAAAATAAAAAAAAAACAATTCTAAATTTCAAACTGTCAGCTGACTCGATTAGCCTTTCGTAGCTGGTTTATCCCTATGTAAGTTTATGATTTTTAATAGTTCATCGTGCGATTGGACAACCTTTAGCAACAAGGTATTTTGGTTAAATATTGTAAATAATTCATGGCGTATCCATGAATACAGTAACATTCGGTTTTTCGTTTGGAACTAAAATGAAGAAAAAAAAAAGAGATAGACAAATGACGATGTAATTGAGTAACAGGACTGCTATACTTCAAAAATTAGAAATATAATTAGTAAGTCATAAAAGAACTTTGTTTGTCATCTGGGATACCTATATCAATGAATGCATTTCCTTGGTTGATTTTTAAAATAAATTGTGTATAACATTTTTGTGTATTCTTTCAAGTTATAAGTTGAAGTTGATCGATGGACATCTTATATTCTACTGCTATTGTAATATCGCATGGATAAGAGCTAGAACATATTAAGTAATTTAAAATTGATTAAAATATGTATAAAAGAATATTTACAAAAAAAAATATTATTAAAAAAAACCCAAATATTTAGAAAAAGGGGGGGTCAATTTTCCAAGCGCCTACTGTCTTCCATAAAATGTAACGACCCTCCCCAATCAACACGTCAAATAGATCTATAATTAGCATATTTCTCATTTGTGTACCCGTAAAAGACTTCATAGGGTATGGGAGAAAAGTGCAATCGGAAATGCATATTAATTTATATTTCCGGTTTATAAGTATAACCCGTTTCAAAGTTGTACAGATGTGTCAACAACAATTTACCATCGCTTAAATTTCTAGAATAAAACAAGAAATTTGAAAAAGAGTTGAATAAATTTAAAAAAAATTATGAAAAGGAATGCTTAAGTAAAGTGATTTCTTTTAATAACCAGCGCTAAATATCACCTGTTGCTTTATAATTATACTAAACATGATTTTTTTTCCTATTACAGAGATGGTTCTAAATATTATATGACCAATCACAGTCATCTCAAAAGCAGTCACTATATATACTGTTCCATATCTTCAATCATATTTTAAATATTGCAGAAATACAATGATTTGATGTATCTTTCCGCATTTAAAATAAATTGACAACTTTTTTCTAGACATGCAAACTGCATAACACGTAAACAAACTTTTACGAAACTAACTTTAAGGCGGGAATGATTGGTTTAGGGCACCTACGTCCGATCTGAAACGAACTATACCGAAAATAAGCATGTTTACCTGGGTGACTTGTGTTGACAAATTGGTCTTAAAATTAAAAGTATTCTGTTAGTGACTGATGTACGAAATTAATCAATCAATTAAGCATAAATCTAGATGTAAAATATCAAAATTTAGCGACATTTAGCGGACTAAAATTCAGTGTGACGTCACGAGGGTGATCAACAAAGTTGATTTCTCAGGAGAGCAGCATCTTTCACCGTGGTTTCAGGACCTTTTATCTTTGTCATAAAAAAGTTCATTTTGATTGTGATGAAAGATCGATGATTTAACAGACAAGGAAGCGAGTCAAAAATGGCCAAATCGGCCAATAGCTGATTTTAACTAGAAATGTTCAATAATATCGGCGGGGGACCGCCATCTTGGACATCCAACTCTGCTAGTGGGCCGACATCTCGGTCGAATATGATGGAGGGTATGCATAAAATATTTCTTTGTATTAATTAATTGACACTTTTTTTATCATTCTATCGCACTAAAGCGTCAGATTGATTGCATGACTGTGCGTTTTTCTTCAATTAGTCTTTCAAAATGGAGTCGTGATTTCCCCCCTAAAATGGCCTCCTTCAAAGGGATTACCATATTCTCGGGCATACTGACAATTGCTGCAATGGCAATTAATTTTGTAGATCATACGATACTGATCAACTAATTTCTCCATGGTTTGAAATATGAGAAACCCGCTGTTCTAACGCAGTGTACCTATATAGTGTAGTTTCCCAAGGGTAGATGCAGGGTGATGTGTATTGACCTAATCAACAAATAATAATGAAAAATAAAATTGTCACTTCACAAACGTAACACCACATAATTGTTTGGTTAGGCGTCCATCTTGAACAGGTGCCATATTATTTATAAAATTCTCAATAATAATCATTATATATTTTCTTTTTCATTTCAGTTTTATAAGCAGTTTAATTTAAGGTCTGATGTTCTAGAAATCTATGTGGCCACAGCCATGTTATTTGCTACTTGATTCTTGACATTTTTACCCTATATCATATGAGAAAGTAAAATTGTCAGCCCTAGTATTCAGATTGAGACTAGCATAGCGAGACATAAGCCTGTAAAGTTGTTATATTTTGAAATATCATTTATAGAATATCAGTCATTTGATATATCTGTTAAATATCATTCTCTTATGGTTGTGACCACTTATCTATTTCTTGCATGACAAGATATTTCTTGTTTCACACTGCCCGGATCTTGTCAATCAAATACAGCAATCAAGCATGGATATGGAGCTCATGCCAGTCGTTGAAATTCAGTATGCCCTCTAATTAAAATTTCTTGTTGCCTGTTACCATACCCACCCTCTTATCCACAAAGTTGGCACAACCTTTTGGAAATTTAGCCAGCCTGTAGGTGAAAAGCCTGCACTTTTGGAAGAGTTTGTGTGAAAATTGTAATAAATAGGCAACGATTTCTGAAAAATATAACAAATGATCATAAAATCTGGTTTATTTCTGCCATCCAAAACTGTTATAACTTCCTATTAATTGTGTGAACTTCAGAGATTGACAGATGATATACAGTTTGTATTTTTACATGTACATGTATCTGTGCACATTGTAATTCCATCCATAATGAGTCATAGAAGTTATACTACATACCTACTACCTGAAATTATTCACTGATCAGTAACATGTCCATATATCATGTATATTGAAATATTCCATCAAATATATCTCTAACAGACCACAGTTGTCAATGGCCAAATACACCATTTTTTTTGCAAAGGAATTAAATGTCTATAGAGAGTAGTTTTAAATATTATTGAAAACAAACATGTCAAGGAAGTTTCCGGAATTGTTATATCTAGTTTACATATATGTTGGGCTGTTGCCTGGAGTCTATAAAACTAACCCATTAAGAAATTAAAATATGAAAAGTGAATTAATTTACATTACCACTATCATGACTATATACATAATATTAGGATGAATTGTTCTTATTGTTATTCATAGTAACTAAAAGTATGCAGTCGCCATGTTCAGTTTTAGATTTTACGCATTTACATGTACACAATGAATACATTAAACAAAAAAGTGCATTTATATAACATTAGAGCACACCTAAAAATAATGAGATAAAAATCATAACAAGATACATTTTTGTACAAGTTTTATTCAATATTCAGCCTTTGATGTTTCTTTGAAAAATAATTCATATCCTGCAGTTGATTTTTTATATTTTAGCTGGAAATATTATGGAAAATGTAAACATTCACTCATCATTAGACCCAAGAAAGCAAGAGTTACTGGAGGCACGGTTTTTAGGAGGCAGGGTTTGTAGATTTTTAATAATTTGTCCAACTTTTAAGTCATGTTGACTATTCACTTGATTCAGCTGTATTGACTACATAACTTGAAGAAATGGCTGGAAATATGACATGCATTGCACCATTGACTGATTTTATTGAACTCTGATGGTGCATTGTCTAATTATTAAAAAGATGAGACTAATTTCTTGATTTGCTACTTCCAAGCTAATGATCAATTCTCAAGTCGTGGCATACATATGATATGTACATGAAAAAAAATCAAGAGATACCAGGCTTATAATTTTGTACAATGTATGCCAGACACACATTTTCGTCGACAAAAGACTTGACATGACGCTTGAATCGAAAAAGTTCAGGCAAATTAAAGTAAAATATATAATGAGAGATAATTTTAATCACCAAAAATATTGGAAAGTGTGACAGACCACACCAGACTCCTATGAAAATATAATTTACAAAAAAGACCAACAACAACATACAGCACATGGTCTAGATAGCCTGACTTGTACAGGCTCAAAGTGTATAGTGGTGTATCTTCATGGTCCAGATAGCCTGACTTGTACAGGCTCAAAGTGTATAGTGGTGTATCTTCATGGTCCAGATAGCCTGACTTGTACAGGCTCAAAGTGTAAAGTAGTGTATCTTCATGGTCTAGATAGCCTGACTTGTACAGGCTCAAAGTGTATAGTAGTGTATCTTCATGGTCCAGATAGCCTGACTTGTACAGGCTCAAAGTGTATAGTAGTGTATCTTCATGGTCCAGATAGCCTGACTTGTACAGACTAGAAAGTGTTTATTGGTGTATCTTCATGGTCTAGATAGTCTGACTTGTACAGGCTCAAAGTGTATAGTAGTGTATCTTGATTCAATGGTTAAATATATCCATGATATTAAACTTTTACTATAAAGTTGACCTCGCAAGAAAATTGTTTACATGTTTTAAAGGATATATGCAATTGATAAAAATACAATGGTATTGCATTACTGAATAAAGACCAAAACAAAAGAACATCTATGCCACTAATATTGTGGTAGTTTAGGGGATCATATATTTTGTATGTCATTGTTAATTTGATCAAGTTAATAGAGTCCTGCTGTTCTTGATAAGTAAAAGGTGAGTATATAGTGAATTGGAAATGCAAGACTGACCAAGCATCTCTATTCTTATAACATGTATAAGGACTGACTTAAAATTGATTTTATATTCCAAAACAAACCACGGATGTTCCTTATATATACTGAAGTGAATGATCTAAATATTATTTAATTCTTACAATACCCCTAAATATGTTGGCAGTGTTTTGCCATGAATAAACATGTAACACAGATAGATTCAAAGCAAGAATCTTACTGATTGAGATTGATTCAGTATTAACAAATAAGCTTTTATCATTGCAGTTTCAGCCGTTAAACATTACACAGTCTCAAGACAACAGCAACCACAGTGCAGGATCAGTTGAACAGTTAGATGAGGTGAATAGAACAAAATAAGCCAGATTAAAGTTATATTTATAGAAGTGTATAGTGGAACTAAACTGTTTTCTGACACTGTAAACATCTGCTTGTGTTTAGTGCAAATCAGGATTCATTACAGTATCAAATGACAATCCTAATGCTTTTTATTTAAAAAAGTGTTTTATTTACCATGACTATCATATCTTGAGGAAGTAGTTAATCTGTACTGTGTGAAAATTATAATGGAATACACCCTAATTTCAGTTGAACAACTCTTTGGGCCTTTCTTTTTTTGAGATTTCTTTCACTTGATGTATGACTTAGCTATAGGGACCCAGGGAAGGTATTTTGAAATCTCAACTATGGATGTGCGCCAAGTACAGTGAAAATTTTAATGAAATTCTATTGGTGGTTATCCCATTTTTGAAAGTGACTTCCCTGGGTACCATGTATGTTTAAAAAGAACCGTCCTAACTGGAGCAATTTGTTCAGGGGATGGAATACTGGGAAAGTAATTGAATTAAAAAATTTTTTTGAAAAATTAAGGCCTTGAAAAGTTCTTAAAAATTAAAATTTGCAATAAAAGTCTTGGAAAAGTAAAAGAAAATAAAACTTTGAATGATTGAATAAGGGAAATGGCTTTTCAAGGTATGTTATAAGGGGTATGCTACTGTTTAACTGGGTTGGACAAAGTCCAAAATAAGCTTACAGCATGGTATGGACTGGCAGGCAGGAAAAATTGATACTTTAAATTTAGAAATTATTGCATGCATTTATAATTGGGATTTTGTCATTTTAGACTAAAACGCGATTTTAATTTTTGCAATATTTAGAAAAATCCTGTTTAATTCATATAAAAAATGTTAAAATGCGAGTTTAAATTATTGCGATTATAACCCTGTCGCATTTTTCGCAATAATAAAAACATCGCAATAATTTCTGAATTTACAGTAACCAATTTGTTTAATCAATTTCCTACAGTTTTCAACCCAGATCCTTGAAACTGCACAGAAAGATTGCACACATGTTGAAGTTGTGTTACCTACTATTATGGAATTGTTCTGTGATTTTTTTAATCGTTTTTCTGAACCAGGGAACTTGACTTTTTTTTTAGAAAAAGTTACAAAAGATGATGCTGATATCATGAAATCAAATTCTACTGCAATTTATTTAACCAATCCTTGAAATTTTACGGGGAAAGGTGTATACAGGCTGCTTATCCAAAAGGCTCATTTTGTGAAGAAACTCCTATATTATCTATTGATATTGGATTGTTTGTTGTTGGTTTTCAAAGGGCATATTCATTTTATGCTTGTTGGGGTAAGATAGAGTATTTTTCCCCTCCTGTTTATACTTATTCCTGAAGTAACCCTGAGTGAATGTTTTGTATAAAAAAGAAGTGCAGTGTATATTTCAGATTTTAGCATTATTTAACTGTCCATATTATGCTGTTTGATTGCCACAATAAAAACAATTATAGTATGTTGAATTATTCACACAGACATACTTCATGAATGTACAAATATTTATGAAAAAAGGGAATGTGTGACAGATGCTTGGAAGATACGATTATATTTAAGTAACTGGGAACTGTTGAGGTCTGAAGCTACTTTCCATTGCCTTTCTTTCAAAAAAGATTCCGGACCTTCACTTTTAATGCAAACTTATTAAAAACTGCTGTAACTTAAGTCTTAAAATTACCACATTAACTTTTGCAAAATTAAAACATGTTTTTATTCTTTGTAGGCCTTGAGTGTTAACACCCCAGAAAAGCAACCTCGTACACCAACAGAACGCAAAAGGAAAAGAAAAGCAACAAGTGACGGAAGTGAAAGTAGTATGTATTTCCTACCATTTTGGCTCCTAATAATGAATGACCACAAATCAGATTGACAAACCCTAGTAGAGATTTTCATGTAGTATTCTAAGGAAAAAGAGCACCAAAATTGGACTTGAAATAGAAAAGTGTTCTATTAGCGGCTCCTTTAAAGCTTAGAAATTATAAGAGCATAATGTTGATCAAATGCTAAAATTTCTATTCAAGAGGAAGCTCCTTAAGTTTTGACAATTTTCAGAATAGTCTGCAAATTCTGTATTTTTTTACTTGTTTTCCTTAGAAGGAACATAGATTTTCATTGGCATTGAACAGCTAGCAGAAAGAGCTAATTTTCCTTTGTGTTATTTTATAAGTTAAGCCTAAGCGGTGGTATATTGGTATCACATTGTCGTCCGAAGACAGTTGGTTTCCAGACAATAACTTTAGTATAATTTAATAGAAATCTATGAAATTTAAACAAGGTTTATGACCACAAAAGGAAGGTTGGGATTGATTTTGATTTTTAGGGGCCAAGAAGGGGCCCAAATAAGCATTTTTCTAGTTTTCAAACAATAACTTGTGGAACGGTGTATGGATCTCTCTGAAGTTTTACCAAAAGTTTCCATACCACAAAGGGATGGTTAGGATTGGCTTTGGAGAGTTATGGCTCAAACCGTTTAGGAATTAGGGTAAAAAAAGGGGGAAAACAAGGGTTTCCTGGTTAATGGACAATTACTTAAAAGACAATTTAAAAGCGGTGTAAGGGAGGCAATCCAAACACAAGGTTTTGATTACCTCCCTTACACTGCTTTTAAATTATGTATAAAGAAATGTTGTATTGTCTTGAGATGATTAGCTGTCAATTTATTTTTAGAAGTTACCATTAAGGAATATTAATTTTAGCCATGATTATGTATGTCATTTTCTATTTTAAGACTTTAATGATGTATTTAAATGGGTAATAATGGTTGCAAACTCCATTGGAAATTTGAATTAAGATTATGACCATATCTTGAGGGGGGATGGGGGTCAATATGCAACAGCAAAGTGTATTGCACAAAAGCAAAAAATTGAATATAAATTCAAATCATATAACCAATTCTAAGTTCTTTGACTACAGTTATTCTGTGTCAGAAACCTATTATGTGTCAAATATTTAATTTCAATCCAAATTCAGACCTGTCTCAAGCACGAATATTGTGTCCATTTTTGCCCCAACTGTTCAGGGTTGGACCTCTGCGGTCGTATCCAGCTGTGCTTGGCAAAGCAATTTATTCATTATTAATTTTAAATGCCTACATATCACTGTCAGCTTGTCATGTTTTGCATGGGCAGTAGCGAATTTTGTTCAGTATACAACCAGTCTACAGTTAGCGAAGTGAAACAACCTGTGTTAAAAGTGTGTAGTAACAGAATCATATCGGTAGACTTATAAAAGTTATATGGGACTTGAATTCTGAAAAAATATATTTCTGTTTGAAAGTGTCACAACTATAAATTGAACTTTGTATCATTTTGTAGTGGTGTTCCAATGATGAGAATAAGTTGGAAATCAGATGGTTTGGCTCAGAGATATCAATAATCCAATGTGATTTTGTTACGTCGATGATTATTATCATTTTCGGAATTTTAGCATATCTGCTTCTGGTCTGTTTTTGGTTTGCATTTTACATTCACAGTCATTCAATTGTATCGAAATATCAGAGGATGACAAGAACAATATCGAACATTCAAGAATCACAAGACATAAACAATTTCTTTCTTTAGAAACGTGGTGAAGGCATTGACTTTACAGATTGGTCATATGTTGTACCAAAGGAACAACTTTTTTTCCTGGTGCTTATTACACGATAGCATACATTGACACAGCCAAGTCTAGTCAAAATGGGGATGTTAAATCTGATGCCTTTGTATAGAGAGTGCCATCCTCTTTGCACATTAAGAGCCCTTGCAACAAATCTTTGAGGGGTCTATAGGTGGCCTGTTGCAAGGCAAAAGTTCTGTCCCTTTGAATAATATCCTCATTTTCCAATGGCAACTTGTCCAAATTTCCCCGACCTTCATACCATACAGCCTCTATAACAGGACCAACCTGTTGCATTTTTTATTGTTATTTCTCGTCCAGAACATGCATGCAATACTTAAAACTGGACATTAAGCAACCAACAATCAATTAATCAATTAATTGACTTAAGTTGCTTAAAAGTTAAATTTATAAATCTTTTTAATGAGAAGCATTCAGATTTTTAGGGGTAGGTGGCCAGGTGGTCTAAGTCCAACTACCTATCAATAGCCTGTCAACACTGAGGTTGTGAGTTCCAATCTCGACTCAAATCTTTATTGACTAGAATTGTCAGTTTTCCTATAAACGAAGATCGTGGTTCTCTCTGGGCACTCTGGCTTTCTCCACCAATAAAAACTGACTGCCATGAAATAGCCAAAGTAGCCAATAGCCAAAGTTGCATAAAACACCGATCAATCAATCAATCTAATTTTGATACATCTATGTATTTGAGATTATTATGTGAGTAAAACCATTGAAATTAAGACACTTTAGTTTCATTGTTGTGAATAAATGTTGTAATTATAAGACAAAATATGGTCAAACTGAATCTGCTCTTTAATTGATTCACTGATTCAATTGTTAACTAAAATTTGAAAAGTAAACAAAGGATCAGACTTGAACAAATAATGCAATGGTATGGAATATATACATAAGACATGGAAAGCATAATTTCATATAAAAAGAGCAAGTTATAATAATGCGATTATAACTGATTGTTGGTTGGTTGCTATTAACCAGTAGTAATAGATAATTGGTGGGTAATTTCAACCGATTATCCAACACATCATTTTGTGGATCCCATAAAACAGTAAATTAAGTAAATCAAAGCTAGTGAACACACTATTTTGCATTCCATTTACTTAAATTGATATGATTATTTTATAGATACTCCAAAAACAAGACCAGAAGCAAATGGAAAGAAAATCAATGAATATTTCAAGGTTAGTATGGCAATATGATTATAAACAAAATAATAACTAAGGGAGAAACAATTGAACAAGTTTTTGGGGTTAAGTGATTATTTCCCTTACATCTTATTAAAGATAAATATGTTTACATATATTTACACCTCCTGCTTTGCTAAGCAGGATACATATAGTGATGGGGGAGTTGTCTGACCTTCTTGTCCCACTTTTGTATCAGTAACTGCTCCTAGACCGCTTGACTGAATTTTGTAAAATTAAACTTTCTCAGAATATTACTAACATGATCTATTTTAGCACATTCTATATCCTTTCTTTTTCCCAATGGTTTGTTGGGTTTTCTTAGGTATGGACTTGGTGTCTTTGTCATATCTGTACACTAAAGAACACATTTGTATCTTCCACTCCTTCTAAACCTCTATTATATATCAGAATTCATTGAAATTTTCGCAGAATATCCACCAATAAACACTGTTCTCCTCTTATTTTCATTTTGTTTCAAAACATTTTTTGGGTTTCCCTTGGCAAAGCATGGATTTTGCCATTTCTTTATCGGGGGTACCAATTTTGTATCAAAAACTTCTCCCAAACTTCTTTATTGAATTTATTGAAACTTTTTAGAATTAACACATATAATACTTTTGTGCAACTCCTTTTTTTATTCAAATTATTTTTGTAGTTTCCCTTAGAAAATCATAAGACTTTCCCATTTCTCTAAGTGGGTGCAGAGTATCATTTTGTGTGCTTTGTCTGCTGTACTTCTAGATCAAATTGATTTCAATCCAGGTTTGACAGGAATTTAATGCACTTGCAGTGTGGTAATTTCCACAGGCTGTTTTAGTACTGCATTATTCAACTCTTTCACATTTTATCCCTGTTCTATTAGTCAGACCTCAACATTATCCGATCAGATCATAACATGGCACAATTAATTTTTTCTAAGAAATTCCCAGTGATCACCTTGTCAAGTTGTCTGAGATTATTCATTTTACCTGACGATATCAAAATATTGGAGGGACTGGTTCAATGAATGAAATTACTCTTCTTGACAAGACTTTTTGCTGTTGTCACATTCGTTTGGAGTTTTTTAATTAACATTATAAAAAGATGCAGAAATGTCATGACAGTAGTGAAAGAAATTGGTGAAAATATTGATTAGTAATCATTTCCAAGTTTTTGAACTTAAGACCAAGGGTTTTCTGCACCTCATATGAAATCTGTATGATTATTTTATTATTTGTTAGTTTTTTTCAACCAACACTGTTTAATCTGAATGACTTCAAAGATGCATTTCAGTTGTCCAGGGTGTCATTACAAGATGTTATAAAATAAAAATAAAACCAAAAATGGCTACAATAAATATGCTTATAATGTTTGCTATGGAAACTTCAAACTTGTTAAAGATCATTCTAAGTCAATACTAACAGAGGATTGTTTGGATTTTAAATATCATTTAATGATTCATGGAAGCAGTCATAATGTCATAAAAAATGTTAATAATTTTGGAAAGATTATATATACAGATGATATATTTGATGCGATAATAATTTAAACAATTGATAATCTTGAGAAGAACACTGCTGACTTACCATTTTTTTTTGTCAAATGAGTTCTTCAATGTTGACACTTTGCCAATTTCTATCAATAATAATAGATTTTTAAACATACTATTTAACAAATCAAAATTAACTAGTGCTTGTTAGTGAAGTAGGGTGGACAATTTTGAAGTGTTGGTACCTTATTTGTCCATTGGCAATGTAAGCATTTTTGGTTTTGAGTTTAGGAAATGTGTTGAAGGATAAAAAATTAGATACATTACCTTTTATCAAAAAGGAGTAGGTCCGGTAAGGGCCGATTTTGGCCTCAAACTTCAGGTTCATCTGATGAAAGAATTTGGACACTTTTTAAACACTAAAGTGTCTACTTTAGTCGATTCAATTAGTTAATGTGAAAGATTTGAACTGATTTAGTCATTAAAGACGCCCAAATTCAAGCTTAAATATGAAAAATCTATCAAATATGTCATAATATGTCACTTTTCAGATGGTTTTTGTCAAAAATGAAAGTGGCCGCATCCGTGTTCATTCTCAACCTTTATATATGTTATGTATTATCATCTAATACAACTTACATTTAAATATTAAGAATGAACACAAATGCGGCCACTTCCATTTAAGACGGAAACCGTCTAAAATTTAACTCAAATGCTAAAATTGTGAAGATTTCAGTAATTTAGCATGACTTAATGATGATAGTACCCGATACATGTGCATTGTATTGTCAAAAACAGCCCATATTTATGTAACAGAAGTATTCTGCTTTCCAATAAATAGCTAAAAGTTTAAATTTTAACAATTTTGTAAAACTGCTATATTTTGGGGCCAAAAAGGGGTCTTACTGGGCCTACTCCTTTAACTTATGTAGAAGCATACCATCAAAGTACGAGCTTTTCTTTGTAAGCAAGTGTAATCGCAGATTTAAAAAATGCACAAACATACAAAACCTACAGTAGCTTTCTATACCTCACTTAAGATATAATGATATAAATCAAATTTATATACAGTATTCCCTTGAGCTAAAGATAATAATGTAAGAAGGAACAACACAACTCACAGGTACAATGTTTTTCAGTCTAAATTAAAAAAAAAAAAAATTTCGGTTTCATTAGCTTACTCATAATCTAGTCTATGTCATGAAAATTGTCCAAGTGTAAATTGCACAATTTTATGCAAATATGAGAGAATTCCTAAATATAACCATGGAAGCAGTGAAGAAAATCTTGGAAAAACTCGGAATCTTTTTTAATTGTATTACTTGGATTGTATATTAAAGTCAGCAAATTTTGTAAAATTTTGTCTTTTGTATATTATAGAATCAGTCACCAAACAGAAGTGGATCAATAAATCCAACAACAGGAACGAAATCTCCCTCACCACAGGGTTTGTCCTATGTAAGTATCTTCAGTGTATATCAAATTACAGTGATAGAAGTCTAAAATTTTTTTTTAGCTCGCCTGACCCTATATTACCATTTTGACAAGTTTTTTTAATTTTTGCCTATTATCTCAAAAACAAATAGATAGATAGAAACTGTCAACAGCCAAAATAATCAGCAATACAATAGTTACAAAATGCTTGTATGACCAAACCATAGGATTTACAGGACTAACTGTCCTTAAATGACGATTTCTTATTTATTTTTGAGTTTTTTTTCCTATTATCTCAAAAACTATTATACATGTAGACAGGTAAGAAACAGTAAACAGCAAAAATTATCAGCAATTTAAGATTTTCAAAAATTCCAATATAATTGAGATAACTGGATTAATTCTTACAGGAGTTATTGCCCTTGTAGAATTATTTATGATACACAATCAAATTTCACACCTGTGTACATGCACACAATTGTACTTATGTAAACCACATGTTTTTGTCCATTTTCACACAGTTTTTTACTCCATTACTTTTGTATCCTCCACTATAAAAATTGGCTGTCACGATATATCAAAGGTCACTGAAAGTGTCATTAAACACCAATAAACAGTTAACATCATATTACTAATTGGGTTGGGAATTACATTGTAAATATTAATTGTACATTTCATCTTATAGCTCACATAACTTAAAATACATTATTTTCCCTGAATAAGAAAGTTTCTTTAGAATTTCATGCATGAACCTAGCATAATTGGACATGCTGGAGATCATGATAACCATATATTTCTGTGGTTTTCAGTCATACACAGCACCTTCACCCAGCAGTGTATACAACAGTAATTCAGACAGCTTGCATGGCTTTCCTCCTGTACCATTGTACCAGTGTTCAAAAGGATTACAGGTAAGCTTTATTTAATACTGTAAATCAAGATTTATTTTCACCTATACTTTTTTCTCATTTAGCCTTTTCTGGTCAATTTGGCAACAATTTATTTTCATGATTTTCTTATTTCTTTTATGCTTTGTCAAAGTGAAGATTCTAGTTATACATATTTGCAACGATTAATATTTGAATTATTTTACTACTGTGAAAATAAATAGCTTGTCAGTTAACAGTATTTATTGATTGGTCAACTGTGTTGAGATGTATGTATAATGTTACAGAGAAGTAGTAAAACATGTTTACTCTTTTCACACCAAAGCTTGATTGCATGAAATTGTATTTATATGTTCAATGGCTTTTTGCCTTAGAAGCCAATATTTTCTACTGCATTTTACTTTTTAGCTCACCGGGGCCCAAAGGGCCCCATGTGAGCTTATGCCATCACTTGGCGTCCGTCGTCTGTCGTCGTCGTAAACTATTTCAAAAATCTTCTCCTCTGAAACTACAGGGTCAAATACCTTCAAACTTTAACTAAATGTTCCTTAAGGTATCTAGTTTATAAATTGTATCTGAAGTTTTGATCCATGGACAAACATGGCCGCCATGGCTAAAAATAGAACACAGGGGTCAAATGCAGTTTTTGGCTTATATCTCAAAAACTAAAGCTTTTAGAGCAAATCTGACATTGGGTAAAATTGTTCAATTGGTCAAGATCTATCATCTCTGAAATTTTCAGACGAATCGAACAACCCATTGTTGGGTTGCTGCCACTGAATTGGTAGTTTTTACAAAATTTTGCAGTTTTTTGTTATTATTTTGAATATTATTATAGATATATATAAACTGTAAGCAGCAATAATGTTCAGCAAAGTAAGATCTACAAAAAAGTTAATATGACCATAATTGTCAATTGTCCCCTTAAAAAAAGGAGTTATTGCCCTTTAAAGACAGTTTTACACAATTTGTTCATCAAGTTTGCTAACATTTAAAAATCTTCTCCTCTGAAATACAGGTGAGCGATTCAGGCTCTTGAGAGCCTCTTGTTTCCATTCATGTCTAGTCTGCTTTTTGTGTGTGAAATATTTATATAAATCCATAGTTTTGAATTATCAATGAAGCAGTACTTTGAGGATTTAAATTGATTAGGACATTTTCATTCAGTGCTTAGATAAATAATCAAAGTATTGTTTATACAATTTAGACTGAACTAACATGGCAACAGATACAGATTTGGGAAAGTAAAGCATCTTCAGATATAGAACAGAAAGATACTAGGATAGACGAATTAATTAGGGTAAGTCCTGTGTAATAGGGTATGTCAGAATAATAATAGAATAAGTACTGGTTTTATTTTTAGGAAGGGGTGGAATATCTTTGTATAAAGGTGTTTAGCAAGCATTTATGCTACCATTAATTTACCAGTTGATAGAAACTATTAAGATCTATTTTTGATGATATGAATATTGAAAATTATTAACAAAATTAACAGACTCAGTAGAAACAGAAAGCATCAGAAAAAAAAGCATTGAAATACTATGATCAATAACTATACAAGTTAAATTTGTGGAACAAAGGAAAAAATTCAAATCACAAAAATCCTTCATCGAACATGTTTAAAATAAACCAACAGACAATTGATTCTGCATTTCCTGACTGACACCGAACATTTAACTAAAAATGTTTGTAACGTCATATCACACACCAAATGTGTCCATAGTCTGCATACCAAGAATGGTTTATGGCCTCTGTGCTTTGCAACATTGTTGTTAAAACTTAATATTTAGATTCACATGCAAGCAAATGGTCACTTGATATTACTAAAGATAAAATCAGTAAAATCCCTAACAAAATTGAGTCTATCAAAGGAAATACAGGAATTGAGTGACCAAAATGCTATAAACATTAGTTATTACTACATATACTTAATCAGTTCACAATGAACAATGAAAATAAACATGATAATACCATTCACATGTCTGTGATTTGTTTATGTCTTCTAGTAGTTATTTATAGGTATATTGTCAGGTCAGGTGAACTATATTTTTGATTTTCTTCTTAATAGTTTTCTCTTAATTTGAGTTAGAGTTATTTCCCTTACACCATGTTTTAGAGCAATGTTCTCAAATTCCTTCACCAAGTCAAATTGATATTAACAATAGACTTCAATAAAAGTTGATTCCTGAACAAATTTAATTTGTTTGAGCCTTTTTTTATTTATCTCTCCAGTCTAGTTAGGATCTTTTGTCTGACTAGCTTGTACCAATTACTGCAATTTGGTTAGTCAAATTAGAAACCAACCAGTTTGACATCAAACAAGACACCCAATAGAAATAACTCCAACTCAAATTACATCAATGGAAAACTATCTATTAGTCTGGATTTAAAATAAAAGCAGAAACCAAGACAACATACAAAGTTTAAGTAAAGCTGATAGATTCAAATCTTAAGTTATATTAATATTGTTATAATATTTATTTTCTTGTCAGTCAACTTCTTCGTGCTCTCAAAAATTGTTTTTCTAAGCAGGCTGAATATTAATCACATTTGGCAGATTGTACTTTGATTAATTATCTTATTGTGTAGCTGTACTATATACATTGTATTTTCTTTGGTTCATACATAACTGTTCAGAAGAAATGTTTAATATTTTGCAATTTTGCTTTCAGCAAAATGATGAACAGCGACGGCAAATCACTGCACAACAGAAACTGATAGACAAACACAAAGAAAATCTTCAGAAATGTTTAAATGTAAATAAATCTCTCCTTATTGAAAAGGTAAGTACACGTTGATATATAAATTATCCAACATGAACTCGCTAATCTTAATTACTTTTCTTGGATACTATAAGCAATAGGTCAACTATATTTGGTGTATTGAATTATTGTAAGGTGAACATGTATTTCCAGTTTGGTTTATCTGACCTTGACTTCATTTTCTTGGATCATGTTAAGTTTATGTGATACTTTTAGTAAAGCTTTATATTTAGGACTATCAACTTAAAATCAATGGTCAGTAAAGAAGGCGAGATATTTCAGCGTGTGCACTCTTGTTTTCAGAACAGTTTCATTTTTGGCAAGACTTTTTTTTAACTCTTAGATCAATCACTTGGTCATAGAATTTTACATGAAATATATACAGCTGAGTAGCAAGCTGTATGTAAGGCCCTGCACACTCAGTCTTTGATTAATTGCATTAACAATTTTAAGAAAAATGTGCCAATATCGATACTTTTCTAATACTTTGTAAAAATTGCTTATTTCTTGACCAATTTCAATGGGGTTTGATCTCAAGTTTTGATCTCTTGGGGTTCTTTAATATGCGGAATCTAACTATTTATTAAGATTTTGGATTGTGGACCCAATTTTTAAATTGGTTCACATTGAGGTCCAAAGGGTCCCAAATTAAACTTTGTTTGATTTCATCAAAAATTGAATTAATAGGGTTCTTTGATATGCCAAATCTAACAATGTATTTAGATTTTTTATTTTGGGCCCTTTGTCAAATTGGTCCACATGAAGGTCCAAAGGGTCCAAAAAACTTTGTTTGATTTCAACAATAATTGAATTCTTTGGGTTCCTTGATATGCTGAATCTAACCGTGTATTTAGATTTTTATATGCCCGTTTACGGGACGTATTATGGTATACCTCTGTCCGTCCGTCTTTCTGTCTGTCTGTCCGTCCGTCGTCAACATGTCGGACATTTACTCAAAAATGCTTTAACCAATTTGCATAAAACTTTGATAAATTGTTTATATCTATTGACATGAGCTCCCTTTCGTTTTTTATAAAATTTAGATTTTAGGTTTCCTAGTTATGGGGTTTTATTCATTAAAAAAAGGGGGATTTTCCAGTTTTCGGACAATAAGTCAAGAATGCTTTCACCAACTTGCAAGAAATTATGGTGAATTGTTTATATCTATTGACATGAGCTCCCTTTCGATTTTTATAAATTTTAGATTTTACGTTTCTGAGTTGCAGGGTTTTTTTCATAAGAAAAGGGGGGATTTTCCAGTTTTCGGACAAAAACTTAAAAATGCTTTTAGCAATTCTTATGAAACTTTGGTGAATTGTTTGTATGTATTGATGTAAGCTCCCTTTAGAATTTTATAAATTTTACATTTTACATTTCTGAGTTATGGGGTTTTATTCAATAAAAAAGGGGTGATTTTCCAGTTTTCGGACAATAACTCAAAAATGCTGTCACCAATTCTCATGAAACTTTGGTGAACTGTTTATATCTATTGATGTAAGCTCCCTTTTTATTTTCATAAATTTCTAATATGACATTGAGAATTAATTGAACTTTATTTGTTTATAGTCTGACAACAGATTTACTAAGTATTGCACAACAGCAAGAAATCTTTAATTGAATATAAATTCAATTCATATAACCAATTTCAAGATCTTTGACTACATTTGTTCAGAAACCTATGATATGTCATATATTTAATTACAATCCAAATTCAGACCTGAATCAAGCTTGAATATTGTGTCCATTTTTGTCCCAACTGTTCAGGGTTGGACCTCTGCGGGCGTATCTAGCTGCGTTCAGCGAAGCAGTTTATTGATTTTTGGCCTGGTTATCAAATTAGTCCACATTAAGGTCCAGAAGGTCCAATATAACTTAGTTTGATTTTATTTAAAGGTGGATACTTAGGGTTCTTTAATATGCTGAATCTAAAAATGTATTTAAATTTTTGATTTTGGGCCCAGTTTTTAAGTTGGTCCAAATCGGGGTCCAAAATTAATAATTTTTTTATTTCAGCAAAAATTGAATATACAGGGTTGTTTGATATGCTGAATCTAACTGTGTAATTAGATTTTTGATTTTGGGGCTGGTTTTCAAATAAGGTCAAAAGGGTTCAAAATTAAACTTGATTAAGAATAATCTGCTCTCTTGTTAATAAAAATATATTAAGTTACAATTGTTTTTGCTAACTTTTAAATCATGTTATTAATATGGTATGATTGATAGTTCTTATGCTTTATAGTTTTTAAGTTTTTAGAGGTTCTAAACAATTATTTTATTTCTACAGAGTAAATTAGAAAAGAAGACGACACGACAGAAGAGTATGAGTAACAGATTGCGGCTGGGTCAGTTTGTTACACAGAGACAGGGCGCTACATTTGTAGAGAACTGGAATGATGGATGGGCTTTCACAGATTTGCTTAAGTATGACCATTGATATGAAAGTTTTTAATTAAAGAAATTGTGTAAATTCACCAAATTTTTAACCGGGTTCAGGGTTGTGAATGTGCTACCAAATGTAATATGTGTGAATTTAGGTTTTAGAAATTTTAGAAGTACTAGAGTTTTAATGATACATAATTTAATTTTGTAGGCAGCAAGAAAGAGTTGCCTCAGATCGTGAAGAAATTGAAAGGCAAAGAAAAGTTTTAACAAAACGTAAACCCGGTGGTGCTGGACCAAAAAGTATAAAGCCTGATTTCATAAAACCTGGTCAAGAAAGAAGGTTTGAATTACTCATTAGATTTACAATTTCCATTGTATAGAGAGATTCATTTTTAGCTCACCTGCCCAAAGGGCCAAGTGAGTTTTTCTCGTCACTTGGCGTCCATCGTCCGTAGTCGTCCATTAACGTTTACGAAAATCTCCGCTGAAACTGTTATTAATTTATCAAAACTTGGCCACAATCAACATTGGTGTACCTTGTCAACCAACTTGGCAGACATGGCTTAAAATAAAACATATCTGTAAATTGCAAGTTTTGTTTATTATCTTGAAAATCGCCACACATAGAGATTGCCACAACTGTCTGTCCATGTGCCTTGTAAGCATAACTTCTCCTGAAGGGCTAAAGATTTATTGATGAAAAATTGTCTTGTAGACTGCTGAACCAATTGAATCCTTATTTGGCAGAAATATTCCTTGTAAGATACTGAAAGAGACTTGTTAATAAACCTCATTAAGTTACTGCTAAATATTGTAAAAAGGAAAGTGAATATTTTTTGCAAGTCAAGTGTGGGAGTTATACATTGTAGGAAATAGTTGTAAATGTAAGCAGTTGTCAACCACCTTCCTTAACCTCTCAACCAGCAAGATGTAGACATGCGAACAGACAGTCCACTTGTAAATGTTATATCTCATAAAAAAACTATTTCATGAATGCGTTTTTAGTTTTACTGTATATGTTAATATTAATTTTTTTACAGTTTATCAGTGCCAGAATATTATGAATTGGATGAGATTCTGAAATTACGGCAAGCTTCTCTTAAGAAGGAAGATTCTGATGTTCAGTTAGAACTGGAAAAATTAGAAAGAGAAAGAAATTTACATATAAGAGAATTAAAAAGAATTCATAATGAAGATAGCTCTAGGTAAGGAAGTTTATATATAAAACAAATGAATGATTCGTATATACCTTAAGAATTATTGATTTCCAAGAAAAGCATCTATTTCAGCATAGGCATTAGCTTTAATAAATTAATGGGTTTCTGTGTCAATTAGTATTAAAATAACACATTTTCTTTCTATTATTTTTATCCTCTATAAAGTTGATAAATTTTTTTTAAGCCACTAATTCCTTTGAATCAGTTATAACCTGAACTATCCTCTGAATATTTGTTGTTAGAATTGGGCTGGAATACCTTGTCTGTCTGTTCATCCGTCAGTCCGGCAAATCAGTTTTCCACACTTTTTTATACGCCCGTTTACGGGACGTATTATGGTATACCTCTGTCCGTCTGTCCGTCGACAACATGTCGGACATTAACTCAAAAATGCTTTAACCAATTTGCATAAAACATTGGTGAATTGTTTATATCTATTGACATGAGCTCCCTTTCGTTTTTTATAAAATTTAGATTATACGTTTCCGAGTTATGGGGTTTTATTCATTAAAAAAGGGGGATTTTCCAGTTTTTGGACAATAATTCAAGAATGCTTTCACCAACTTGCAAGAAATTGTGGTGAATTGTTTATATCTATTGACATGAGCTCCCTTTCAATTTTTATAAATTTTAGATTTTACGTTTCCGAGTTGCAGGGTTTTATTCATGAAAAAAGGGGGGATTTTCCAGTTTTCGGACAAAAACTCAAAAATGCTTTCAGCAATTCTTATGAAACTTTTGTGAATTGTTTGTATGTATTGATGTAAGCTCCCTTTAGAATTTTATAAATTTTACATTTTACATTTCTGAGTTATGGGGTTTTATTCATTAAAAAAAGGGGTGATTTTCCAGTTTTCGGACAATAACTCAAAAATGCTGTCACCAATTCTCATGAAACTTTGGTGAATTGTTTATATCTATTGATGTAAGCTCCCTTTTTATTTTCATAAATTTCTAATATGACATTGAGAATTAATTGAACTTTATTTGTTTATAGTCTGACAACAGATTTACTCAGTATTGCACAACAGCAAGAAATCTTTAATTGAATATAAATTCAATTCATATAACCAATTTCAAGATCTTTGACTACATTTATTCAGAAACCTATAATATGTCATATATTTAATTACAATCCAAATTAGGACCTGAATCAAGCTTGAATATTGTGTCCATTTTTGTCCCAACTGTTCAGGGTTGGACCTCTGCGGGCGTATCTAGCTGCGCTCAGCGAAGCAGTTTATTTCTTCATGCTTGAAGATATTGATCTGATATTTGGTGTAATGTTTTAACATGACATGTTACAGATCAAATTCAAATTTTGTTCCCGTCTGATGATTTTGTGCAGAGTTATGGTCCTTGGACTTAGAAAATTCACTAAAATAATCAGTTTTCCGCACTTATTTTGTCATTCTTGAAGACATTGATTTGATAATTGGTATATAGTTTCATCATGACAAGTTAAAGTTCAAGTTTGAATTTTGTTCCAGTCTGATGATTTTGTGCAAAGTTATGGTCCTTGGACTTAGAAAATTCACTGAAATAATCAGTTTTCTGCTCTTTTTTTTCGTCATGCTTGAAGATATTGATTTGAAAATTGGTATATAGTCTTATCATGACAAGTTACAGATCAAGTTTGAATTTTGTTCCGGTCTGATGATTTTGTGCAGAGTTATGGTCCTTGGACTTAGAAAATTAACTAAAATAATCAGTTTTCCGCACTTATTTTGTCATTCTTGAAGATATTGATTTGATAATTGGTATATAGTTTCATCATGACAAGTTGAAGTTCAAGTTTGAATTTTGTTCCCGTCTGATGATTTTGTGCAAAGTTATGGTCCTTGGACTTAGAAAATTCACTCAAATAATCAGTTTTCCGCACTTATTTTGTCATGCTTGAAGATATTGATTTGAAAATTGGTATATAATCTTATCATGACAAGTTACAGATCAAGTTTGAATTTTGTTCCGGTCTGATGATTTTGTGCAGAGTTATGGTCCTTGGACTTAGAAAAAGAAAATTCACTGAAATAATCAGTTTTCAACACTTTATTTCGTCATGCTTGAAGATATTGACTTGATATTTGTTATATAGTTTACACCATGACAAGTTAGGATTTTGTTCCAATACAATGAATTTTTAATTGGTAGGGGACTATGTATTGCCATGCAATTCTCACAGTATGCTTGTTACCTTAAACAAAAACTTGCATGTCTTAAACCTAAACTTGATATAGTGGAACAGACACACTGACTTGAAAACATTATGCCCCTACCATGGTAGGTGGGTATAAAAATCTGAACAATCCTGTAAATTGCCATTTGCTACCAAGTGTGATAGAAATCATTACATATTTTTCTCCTTCAAAAAGATTGGTTGACTGAAAATTTCTAATCCCTTTAAAGCATTGTTGTTATACTATTGTTTAATTAAATTGTCAAACTAATTAATGATAACTATATGCTTACAGATTTAAAGATCATCCGATATTGAATGATCGGTATCTCCTCCTTAACTTATTAGGGAAAGGAGGATTTAGTGAGGTCCACAAAGTAAGTACAGTTAAACTAGATTAAGACTAGAATATCTATAAGCTTCTACATTTCTAATCTCTTCTGGTAACAACTTATCAGTAGTGTATCAGTTAGTATTCTAACTTTGAACCTACTGGATATAGAATTTCATGGTTTAACTCTATTTTTTTGTCAAACACCATTTTAATCAGTATTTATGGCATTGGTTTATTACTGTGATTTTATCAGTGAAATAAAAACCAATAATTTCACTCCTCTGATTTCATACAACAGTTGATGTCAAGACATTTTGGATGACGTTGCATCAAAACAATTGAGAATGCGTAGAAAAAGATATAGTTCCCTAAATTTTTTACTTCATTTTCATTACAAGTCCATGGTCAATGTAATTAAAGAATAAATAATCCCTGAATTCAAATATGGGAAAATATTCAATTTGTGACTGAACAACACTGATTATTAACTTGAGCTCTACAGGCTCTCATGAATTAATGTATTTGTTTGTCTATTTTTCTATATTTGAGTTCTTGGATTAGTTATTCTATAAATATTGTAATGCAGTAAGATCATACAGATGTCAATTTATGAACAAACTTGTTTTGATACTCAACATTTTAGATACTTCTTGCAATGGACATAAGCAATGCTATGCTTCAGATTCACAAAGGAAGAACGTGCTATGGTAAATTCAGTCAGTTTGGATCTAATATATATCCAAATATGTTGACTTCATGGAAAGCAAGCTGTGAGTGCAGTTCATTATATTATAGCAGGATTCATAACAATATTGTTTCTATTAAAATATGCTTGCAGTTTGCAAAATGTTGGAGTATTTCTATCTGAAGAATGATAAATGAGACAAAAGACTACTTAAATTCAGTAATAATAACAAAAATTGTACAAATATTTTAGGGATTTGACTTGAAGGAGCAAAGATATGTTGCCTGTAAAATTCACCAACTCAACAGAGAGTGGAAGGATGACAAAAAGGCTAACTATATCAAGTAGGTCCTAGTATTGATAGATAGACATGGTAATAGCAATACAGAAAATAGTTGTTGAAGTGTTGATTAAACTTGACAATTACAAAATTAAATATTTATTTGTCTTCAAGTATTTAAATCAATTCTATGATTAAACCAAATTTACCACTTTAATACTAGAATTCTTTTGATTGGATAAAACAAAGTCTTCAAAATTGGTATTTACAGATTATTTCAAGGGCTAACAGCATAGATTGGTTAGCATGGAGTAAGAATCAAATAAATAAAATACATAATACAACATAGAAAACTCATACAATTAGATATTTTCATGCATATTCAAGGCCAATTTTTTTTTTATGCCCCCGCCATAGCGGAGGGGGCATTAAGTTTTACCCTTGTCCGTCTGTACGTCCCGAAATTGATTTCCGTTCTCTAACTTGAGTTTGCCTCAACCAAATCTTATGAAACTTATACACAATGCTAATTACCACAAAACACAGATCAAGTTTGAATTTTGGTGGCGTCACTTTAACCAATCTAGAGTTATGCCCCTTTATAAAAGGAAATATTGCAAAATTTTTAGTTTCCGCTCTCTAACTTAAGTTTGCCTCAACCAAATGTTATGAAACTTATACACAATGCTTATTACCACAAAACACAGATCAAGTTTGAATTTTGGTGGTGTCACTTAAACCGATCTAGAGTTACATGCCCCTTTATAAAAGGAAAAATTGCAAAATTTTTATTTTCTTCTAAATATCAAGTTTATATAATATATTTTTAAAATTGGAGTTATCTTCCTTTGACCATGATTATAGTTGAATCAACTACAATCAATGCAATGTTTAATTTTGACTTCCACTGATAAAACACAGATCAAGTTGAATTTGGGTAGTGTCACTTTAACCATTATTGAGTTATGCCCCTTTATAAATAGAAAGATTGCAAAATTTTTTAGTTTCCATTCTGTAACTGAAGTTTTCCCCAGCCAAACATTATGAAACCTATACACAATATTCATTACCACAAAACTCAGTAAGGATCAAGTACATTTATTTTGTTTCAGTTCTCTAACTTGAGTTTGCCTCAACCAAATGTTATGAAACTTATACACAATGCTTATTACTACATAATACAGATTAAGTACAAATTAGGTGGCAACACTTTTACCATTCTAGAGTTATGTCCCTTTATAACCATAAAAATTGCTGAATTTTTTAGTTTGTCTCAACCAAATGTTGTAAAACTTATACACAACCATTCTAGAGTTATGCATGTTTACAAATAGAAAAATTGCTGAATTTTTTGTTTCTGTTCTCTACTTAAGTTAGCCTCAACCAAATGTTATGAGACTTACACACAATGCTTATTACCACAAAACTCAGATCAAGTTCAAATTTGGGTAGCGTCACTTTTACCGTTCTTCAGTTATGTTCCTTTATAACTATATGATATGCAAGCGGGGGCATCATCTGTGTCCACATGTGGACACTATCCACATTTATTATATTTAAGTTTTTGCCAGAGGCATACCTATGACGTGAAAATGAGAACGAAGTTTTGTGGGATTTTCGATTTTTGAAATTTTAACATAAAAATCTTGAATGAAATGCATTATTTTATTTATTTTGCATTATAATGGAGATACCTGTATTGAATTTTAAGCTTGGTCTACATAAAACTGAATGAACTGTCACAAAGAACCATTAACATAGTTCCACTACACATCACAAACCCAATATTTGACAGTAAAACCTAAGTTTTACGTAGGTAGAGCTTAATACAAAACAGTTGTATTTTATTCATGTTTTTTTTGGTTTTAAGGTCCAACTTTACTGAAATAAAAATCAGATGTAACTTTTCAAATTATTTTCAGACATGCCCTTCGAGAGTATAACATACACAAAAGTCTGGATCATCCCAGAATTGTCAAGTTATATGATGTGTTTGAGATTGACAATAATTCGTAAGTATCTAACTTTATGAACAAAGTTAGCAGTTTTTTGCAATTTAAAGTTATTTTATACATTGAGACATCTCTTTAGATGTATAAAAAAAAATAATTTTTACTATGAAATAGCATATTTAGTAAATATTGTTGTTACTGGCACAAAGCTGGAGATCACTGTAAATATTAAATGAATATCTTTATAACCACTTGGCCTATTTTGAAAAGTTTGTCTGGCATACTTTTAGGAGTGTACTGATTGGGCCTGATTACCTTAATCACCAATCTACATATCTGCTATTAAAATACATTACAAATCTTTAATCTTTCAAAAAGTGAAAAAAATTGCTACTAAATAGTGAGGAATTGATATTGTTTTTTGCACCCCTTTGAATTTTGATTGACAGCTTAAACTACTATTAAAAAAAGACAACATTGTTGCAATAAATATAGATGAAAATCAAGTAAAGTATAAATCAGTACCTAACTACAAAAAAGCTATATCTGTTTTGACTCTTTAAATTTTGAAATCTGCCATTAAACATAGCTACCTACTTCACTTTGGTCAGAAACTTTGACAAAAGGAAAACATGTCAATTAGGATGGTTTCATGTCAGGTTAAATATTTCTCACTGATTCATAAAATTTGGAAAATTAGACTTAGAAGCTACATTGTTTTTGCCTCCAAGAAGACTTTGGAGTGCTGCTCCAGCCAAGGCAGCCGCTACAACAATGTATTAAAGTTTACGATTAAATTCATTTTAAGGGAAATCACTTATGGTAAGTCAACCATATTTGGTAATCACTGGCATCTTTACCCTGAAAATCCATCTTTGAGTGGGAATCCCAAAAATATTCATGTCTGAAAACTACATCATCCACCATTTTGATTTTTTATTTTGGCATAAAATAATACCAGATATGGATTTCCCTATATTTTAACCAATCAGATATTTTAATTACTCTGACGTAGCAGGAAATTATTTATAACTCTAGGGAATACAGTTTGTAATCATAGCATGGTTGTTGCAAAAAACGAGAATACTTGTTTCATGTACATCAAGGGTTAAGGAGTTTATAAAGGGCTCATTCCAAATGCAGATGGCTATTTTCAACTTAAGGTGTATATAAAAAGTTTTGCAACTCTTTTCAAAAAAAATCTTAAGAGTGAAAACACTCGTAAGTCATACACCTTTCAGTATAACTTACGATCAATTTTAATCATAAGATTTTTTGTGAAAAGAGTCCCAGGTACCTGTAGTTATACAACAGTCAAAGATGGTGTAGACTTGAAGCATGCAAATGTTATTTGAAATGATAGCCTGAAACCTGGTATTGTTAAAGTATAAATATTACTTGTCTTTCAAGGCAGATCTCAAGATTTGGTTGAAAGAACATGATGAATCATAAAAATAATGAAACAAAAATTGAAAAAGAAATGATTATGTTACTAATTTGGATGGAATGTTTTCAGATTTTGTACAGTACTGGAATATTGTGAAGGGAATGATCTGGACTTTTATCTTAAACAAAATAAATCCATTCCGGAGAAAGAGGCTCGTTCCATTGTCTCCCAAACTGTTAGTGCTCTGAAATATTTAAATGAGATCAAACCACCTGTGATTCATTATGACCTTAAACCAGGTAAGTCCTGCTTTTTGTAAGAAAAGTGTTATTGAAGTTAGTCTTTTATTTGATCTAAATAAGCCAATACACACTGAAGGATAAAAGTCTTTTCTTTGATCTGAATAAGCAAAGACACAATGAAGCTTTTAATCTTTTCTTTGATCAGAATACACAGATGCAAACAGAAGCTTTCTATACACTAATTTCACTAAACGTCTATTCAGAAGAGGCGTTAAATCCAATGCCTTTTGTAAGGAGCAAGCCAAACTCTATTTACTTTACAACTTATCTGATCTGTAGATAGACCCATTTTACAAAACTTACCTACTGTAACATTGTTTTTTTGTTTTTGTATTGAATGTGCCACTGGATATTAAACAAACATCTGTAAATCAAGACAGTCTATTTTTTAATGATCTTTCATGAAAAGAGTGCCAGGGTTTAACAACTGACTGATACTCTTATCATATACTTTACCGCTGGATATCCTTGCCACTATAATCCAATGGTCTGTCACTGAGTTGAATAGTGCACTATGTAGAAGGACTAAAATCTTGTATGTACATCAGACTTTCTTCTGTCAATGTCTTCAACAAGATACTATAATATATACAAAACATTGATGTTTGATGGTAATTTTTTTATTTCAGGAAATATATTACTTGGTAGCGGGTCTGTTAGCGGTGAGATCAAAATCACTGATTTTGGTCTCAGTAAAATTATGGATGATGAGAACATTACCTCCGATGGCATGGATCTCACATCCCAAGGGGCAGGAACATACTGGTAGGTCAAAGTTCAGTCTGGGCAAATGAAATATTTCATAAGAGAATTTGCTGTTATATTTGGATCAGTTACTTGTAGTATTCAAATGATTCTTTTACCAAAATTTTCTCCTTTTTAGCAATAAAAAAATTGGCATGTATTTTAGATAAGCTGGTTTAAGTTGTCAGAAGTTATCAGCTATAACTCAAGTGCCATTTAGAAGCTCAATACTCACCACTTATTTGATTTTTCCTTTCATTTGAAAATCCAAGTCTCTGAAATTTTGTAATTAACCAACCTTCATTTGTACAGTTGTGATGATGTATGGCTATCAATATGCATTGTTCAATTGTTATTGAAAGATGATAAAAGGTGGTGGTTTATTGTTGAGCCTGCAACTTCTGTCGCAGAAAGAGCGGCGGCGTTAACTAACTTCTTAAAAGCTTAATATTTCAGACGGTAGGAGACCTGGATGCTTCATACTTTGTATATAGATGCCTTATGTTTTGAAGTTTCTGTCTAACATATGTCCGTTGTCCTTGACCTCATTTTCATGGTTCAGTGACTACTTGAAAAAAAAGTTAAAATTTGGCCAGGCATATTACGAAATGGGCATCTGGGTCCCATGGACACATTCTTCTTTTATTTTTCAAATCCTTTTATAAAAGAATATTTTTTTCATTAACAAGTGTTTTGATCTGTTGTAGGTACTTGCCACCAGAATGTTTTGTTGTTGGGAAAAATCCACCAAAAATATCTTCCAAGGTGGATGTATGGTCAGTTGGTGTCATATTTTATCAGTGTTTATATGGTAAAAAGGTAAGTTTACTAGACAATAGATGAAAGATCTTTTAAATTTCGGATAGTAAATTGGAGAGCAGAAAAAATCCAATGACAAAGACTACTAACTTCAAATGCTTTGTAAAAGTGTAACTCTTTAACATTTTGTTTCAATAGTTTTAATAAAGAACGTTTGTCACTAAAATTGTGATAGAAAATTATGAATCTTAAAGAAGACATTGAAAGAGAAAATAAATATACATTGAATATATGTACATTGTCAGAAAATATAAGATTTATTTGTACCAGCTTTAGAAACAGGACAGTAGCGAGTACAAATAAATTTTATATTTCTTACAATGTACAAATATTGTTTTTATCCTGCAATTTACACCAGGCACTTGAAGCTTTAGTTGTTTAAATCCAAATAGCTTAAACACGGACCACGAAGAGGACCCAAAAATGAACTTGAAAAAAGAAACATTCATATAAGAGCTTGCACAACATAGAAGCAGGGTAACAGGAGACTTTATTTGTACAAGTACATATAAAGCAAAAATTTATTTGTGTACCTGTTATTTGTATTATAAGATGCTGATTGCAGGATAAAGGAGTATATTCTGTTCGAAGAGAAGTGTCTCATATTGATTTAAGGTGTATGAAAAATATTAGAATATACATTCTAATATAACGTTCTTCTTTTGTTTTGTAAACAATAATTCCAATAGAACATGGGGTGCCTCAATTAAAATTGCAATGCAGTTGTACTTTCAACAAAGCCAGAGATCGAAATGGACATTTGTGTTAGTGTTGCTTGCTAGGAAATTAAATAAAATTATTCTAAAAGTAACGTTACATGTATCTGTTTATTTTTATGCCCCCGCCGCTTCAGAGGGGCATTAAGTGTTACCCTTGTCTGTCTGTATGTCTGTACGTAAGTACATACATCCCAAAATTAAAAAAAGTTTCTGTTCTCTAACTTGAGTTTTCCTCAACCAATTGTTATGAAACTTATACACAATGCTTATAACCACAAATCCAGTTCAAGTTTGGGTGGCGTCACTTTTACCGTTTTAGAGTTATGCCCCTTTATAAATGGAAAAATTGCTGAATTTTCAATTCCGTTCTCTAACTTTAGTTTGCCTCAACCAAATGTTATGAAACGTATACACAATGCTTTTTACTATAACACACAGATTGAGTTCAAATTTGGGTGGCATCACTTTTACAGTTCTCTAGTTAGGTCCCTTTATAACGTTAAATGAAAGCTGGGGCATCATCTGTTTCCCATGGACAGATTCTCCATTTATTTAATCTTGAAACATTTGGTTTTCTATTACATTTTGGCTTCACCACATCAAAATGATTGCCTTCCTAACGTGTCTTATAGGTCTGCTTCGAAATATAAAAGTTATAGATTTTCCTATCAGAATAGAAATAATTTTATCATGCCATGCTCTATGGTTAGGCATATTTGTCAACATTTTACACCTCACTTATGCTCGGTATAATCTGAAATAATACATAAAGATTAAATACTTTTTTTCGAGCTTTATATATGCAGTTGATGATTTTAGATTTTAGGAATGCATGAAGGTTAATATCAAAATAATTAACTGTTAATTATCTATTTTGCTGTGTTGACTTGTTATATTTAAACATAATGTGTTGTTCACACTTCATTTACTGACTTTTTTTCAGCCGTTCGGCCATAATTTATCCCAAGCTGCCATTTTAGAAGAAAATACAATTCTCAAAGCAACAGAGGTGGATTTTCCATCAAAACCTCCAGTCAGTTCTGAGGCAAAGGTAAATTTTAATAAATCTTCCCATTTAGGACAACTTTAAAGCTTAACATAGTGTTTTTGTCGAGCCTGCGACTTTTGTCGCAGACAGCTCGACATAGGGATAGTGATCCGGCGGCTACAGCAGCGGTGGCGGCGTTAGCTAACTTCTTCAAAGCTCTATATTTTAGAAGGTGGAAGATCTGGATGCTTCATACTTTGTATATGGATGCCTCATGTTACAAAGTTTCCGTCAGTCACATGTCCAATGTCCTTGACCTCATTTTCATGGTTCAGTGACTAGTTCAAAAAAAAGTTTAAGATTTTTTGTAATGTTAAATTCTCTCTTATTATAAGTAATAGGATAACTATATTTGGTATGTGCGTACCTTGCAAGGTCCTCATGCCCGTTAGACAGTTTTCACTTGACCTCGACCTCATTTCATGGATCAGTGAACAAGGTTAAGTTTTGTTGGTCAAGTCCATATCTCAGATACTATAAGCAATAGGTCTAGTATACTCGGTGTATGGAAGGACTGTAAGGTGTACATGTCCAACTGGCAGGTGTCATCTGACCTTGACCTCATTTTCATGGTTCAGTGGTTATAGTTAAGTTTTTGTGTTTTGGTCTGTTTTTCTTATACTGTATGCAATAGGTCTACTATATTTGGTGTATGGAATGATTGTAAGGTGTACATGTCTAGCTGGAAGGTGTCATCTGACCTTGACGTCATTTTCATGGTTCAGTGGTCAATGTTAAGTTTTTGAGTTTTGGTCTTTTTTTCTAATACTATATGCAATAGTTCAACTATATTTGGTGTATGGAAATATTTTGTGATCTATACGTCAGTCACGCAGGTTTTATTTGACCTTGACCTCATTTTCAAGGTTCATTGCTCAGTGTTAAGTTTCTGTGTTTTGCTCTGTTTTTCTTAAACTATAAGCAATAGGTCAACTATATTTGTTGTATGGAAGAATTGTTAGCTGTACATGCCTGCCTAGCATGGTTCATCTGACCCTGACCTCATTTTCATGGTTCATTGGCAATCATTGGTCAATGTTTAGTTTACTTGGTTAATGTTAAGTTTATGTGACAGTTGTAATAAAGCTTTATATTTAGGACTATCAACATAATATCAATGATTAGTAAAGAAGGTGAGACATTTCAGCGTGTGCACTCTTGTTAAAAATGGTCCAGTTATATGAACCAGTACCAGTAACCTATCCCAACAGATAAAACCAAAAAAATAAAAAAAATGATTTTACCTATGTCACCAACAGCATAAGCAGGTCTACTTACTGTTCGATATCGACTCCATTCATGAATTTTTGCCATCACTTTGTGTCTGTAGTCCATTGTATTTAAACTTTTCTGTAATAATTTTCTCCTCTGAAACTGCTTAATGGATTAAAACCAAAGTTTGTCTGGTTTATCTATTGGATGTCAACTATGTTATAGTTTATATCAAACCAGAAGCAAGACAGCTTATAGGTATATCAGAAATTTCATCCAGGTTGATCAACCAACATGGCCGCCATCTCTAAAAACAGAACATTGGGGTCAAACTACAGTTTTGGCTAATAACTTTTAAATTATAGCAATTAGAGAAGAACAGACTGGGTAAAAATGGTCTGCACATCTATCTACCCTGAAAATTTGGGAAAAAATCTGCTCACCTGTTATGGAGTTATTGCCCCAAAAATGTTGATTTTTTAACTTTTTGACATTTCCCTGCCATTGTTTCAGAAACTATAGGAGCTAGGTAAAAAGTGCACATAGCAAAACATTTAACTACTTGATTTGGAGTAATTGTCCCTGTAATATCAATTTATTTTTTCCCTCCGATTTTTAGCAGTTGTTGGCTGTTATTATGAAACTTTAGGAGCTAGTTTTAAAGTGTAAATTGCAAAAAATGATCACACAATAAGATCTATATACCCTGAAAATTTCAGAAAAATCTGCCAACCTGTTTTTGAGTTATGGCCCCGAAATTTTTTCCAATTTGTCACATTTTTTTACAGTTTTGGTCTTGTTAAGTTAGTAGCTGCTTGGTGATCAAAAGACTGAATTGATTAAGTCAAAATTTTTTGTAATAGTGTGCGTACTGCAGTGTAAATGAAGCAGTTTTCTAGGGGATGGTGGGACGGGGCAAGCAATTTAAGTTTAACACTTTTGGAAACCACCGGTGAATACAAGAATTTTCTACTTGTTTAACTCTACTAACTTGTGTAATTTCTCTATATATTTTTTATACCCACCTGAAAACAAAGTTTTGGGTATATTGAAATGACACAGTTGATCTGTCTGTCCATGTGTCTTGTCAGCTTAATTCGTAAGTGCCTAGATCAATACCCATTTGTATAACACTACCTGACCATGTGACTATTAAGAAAGTTAATACCAGTCCTACATGATAAAGGGCAGATATTAGTATTTACTTCAATATTGCAATATGTAATAATAGTCTCTTGGCAGTGAGACTCCTCCTAAACCACTAGATTGATATTGATGCTTTTCATAGTTGTAGAACATTACTTGAGGATGCAGATAAAGGAATATAATCCTGGTCCCACATGTAACTTTCTTCAAAAGTGCAATATGTAGTATTGTTCTCTCATAAGGTGGTAGGGTTCCTTTTGTAAGTCTACTCACAGTTCTAGTTAGTTCAAGGGGAATTTTCATGGAATGTTGAATAGTTGCAAATACCTTGGGGGGGGGGGGTAATTTATAGTTTTATGTGACAAATCTGGACTCAGATAATTTTGGTAAGTATTTAATATCTTGGACATTCCATTTGGACTTTTCATCAGACCATGTTAATTGAGTGTCCAGTATGAAAGATATGTTTCCAGGAATATTGAGTTTTGAGAATTTGTATTATATGTAATACTCTTTAAATTTCAGAATTTTATTAGGGCATGTCTCAGGTATAAGAAAGAGGAACGACCAGATGTGTTACAGTTGTCATTACATGACTATCTTAAACCTACGTCTATAAGATCTAAAGGGTAAGTATTGTAAAACTATCCATGACTATTTAAAACCTAGGTCTATCATATCTAAAGAGTAAGTATTGTTTAACTATCCAAGACTATCTTATGCCTAGGTCTATAAGATCTAAAGGGTAAGTATTGTAAAACTATCCATGACTATCTTAAACCGTCTATAAGATCTAAAGGGTAAGTATTGTAAAACTATCCATGACTATCTTAAACCTAGGTCTATCATATCTAAAGAGTAAGTATTGTTAAACTATCCAAGACTATCTTACACCTAGGTCTATAAGATCTAAAGGGTAAGTATTGTAAAATATCCATGTTTATCTTAAACCTAGGTCTATAAGATCTAAAGGGTAAGTATTGTAAAACTATCCATGACTATCTTAAACCTATGTCTATAAGATCTAAAGGGTAAGTATTGTTAAACTATCCATGACTATCTTAAATCTAGGTCTATAAGATCTAAAGGGTAAGTATTGTAAAATATCCATGACTATCTTAAACCTAAGTCTTTAAGATCTAAAGGGTAAGTATTGTAAAACTATCCGCGACTATCTTAAACCTAGGTCCATACGATCTTAAGGGTATGTATTGTAAAACTATTCAAATTTTGTGTTGTCTTTATCAATCATGTGATATTGAAATGAAGATATATATATTATGCCCCTCCGTAGCGGAGGGGGCATTAAGTTTTACCCTTGTCCGTCTATAAGTACGTACATCCCGAAATCGGTTTCCGTTCTCTAACTCAACCAAATGTTATGAAACTTATACACAATGCTTATTACCACATAACCCAGATCAAGTTTGAATTTGGGTGGCGTCACTTTTACCTTTCTAGTTATTTGTGTTTTTAGGCAATTTATTTTGCCCTTATGCTAATCATGACACTGCCATATTTGTGATCTAGATTCATGCCAAACTGGTCAAAGTAAAAATATAGATTCTTCTTCTGCTATGATAAATATCCTATGTTTTTTAGTTGAATGTATTTAGAAACAATTTAGTTAGAGATAAGGGTGGTCGTAACATGAGCTTACATCAAACAATTTGATCTTCTGCAAAATAGTTGTTTTGCTTTAATAAATGTTATTGTAACTACCTTGAGTTAACTTATGATCCATTTATTGCATTAACAGCGTCATGTTCATTTCCAACTCGCTTGTCAAAGATTGTTTACATTTTGTAAATTTTTCTTCGTCTGCCATTGCAAAATTAATACAAACCATAGATCGGAGGCAGACCAACTATGACCGAAATCTGTATTCTCACAATAATAACTATAAACAAATGCATGGTGCAGATGACTGGGAAATAATGATAACGAGTCCAAAAGTGAAAAAGAGGCATTCAGCACCCATTAATATTCTCAAACCCCTTAGTTACAAGTATATGCTTTCATGCAACAACGTTGTTTCAATTTATTGATTTAAGATGCTTACATTTGTTAAATTCATACATTTTGTAATTAAAACAGAATATCATAGGTAGAATAGTTTTCCTTATTTAACTTTAATTGATAGATGATCATTTATTTTCCTTTTTCTCTTTTTTTTTTCTTTAGATATGCAACAGTGCTAGATATTTAGTTGGTAGTTCCTGACAAGTGGAAAAATTTATATTATGTAACTATAAATGACAATTTAGGACACACTCTGAGACAACTGTAATGGTATTCTCAAGCATGAAATAAAATTGGATTTGACTAATATAATAAAGAAATTAATAAATAGGATACAAGTGGCAAAATAAAAACCAGACTTTATAGAGCCAAGAGAAAACTAGCACTTCTCTTTAAAGCATAACCATTTCGCCCTATGATTTTGAAGTAGTGTAAAATCAGTTGTTAACAGTCTTTTTGTGAATTTGTTCGATGAAGTCTCCTGTCAGTTGTAATCCTTTTACATAAGAAAGAAATAGTCACATAAACATTAACTTGGCTGCAATTGCCTTTGCAGTGCTGTTGTGCTTTGATTTGAATCAGCTTATGCATGAAAATGTTAAAAGGTTCTCTGACATGAATTTCTCATTTACTGTGTATTCATTATTATTCGTGGGATACCAATTTTCATGGATACTTGTGAACCATGAATTCAATGTTCAACTAAGTACAATGTTTATATAGACTTGTATGCAGATTTGTGTAAAACCACAAAATCAAATATCCATTTAAATATGATTTTTCCTTAATCCACGTAAATTGGTACTCATGAAAATAAATGGATCCACTGTATGTGAAATTCAAGATATATTATATATTCAGAAAGATCACATGAACTTTGGAATATTGCTTTTATTGGGAACGTGGTTTATAAAACAAATCTTCATGAGAATGTCTTGGTATTATTCATATCAAGTAAATAATATTTAAATAAAAGTTACATTTGCTATGTTTTAAAGACAGATTTTATTGTTGGAAGTATGATAAATAGAAAAATTATTATATTTCAGACATCCTATTGAAGGACCTACTGGTAGTTACAACCACATTGGAATAAACAGTAATTCTAGCATTAATCAGCCTAGTCAACCTTCGTTCACATTTGGGGATAAACTGTGACGGGGGAGAGACACTTGCCAATCTGTGACTCTTTGTTCAGGGAACTTTACCCTGGAGAAAACCAAAAAAGCGTTAATTGTTGTTTTGAATTCATGAAATTGTGAAGTCCAGTAAATTGTTATTTATGGCTGTGTTTATTTTCAGCATATTTGCCTTTATTAATAGTTCACATGTATACATTTACAATATTTTGGGATCATATTTTGGTATTGTGCAGGTGGCAACAGCTCTTGTAAATAATTCACAACAAATTTACGTCATACTGAGTATTATAAAACTTTTAACACAATGCAACTTGACAAAAGAAAATATTTAGAGGTTTTTTCTTACAGAACATACCTCAACATATTTCTGAAAATATGACTAGATGAAACAAAAGATAGTACAATCAGTACAATCAATCTTTATGTAGTGCATTTTCTTTTAACCAGATTTTGATGAATTTTTAGCATTCAATTCCTGCCATACACACTATTTTTAACAGATTTGAAAAAAAAAATTGTGCAATGATATAAGACAAATTAAAAGTGTTATGCTACATTTGCAGGAACATTTTATTCAAATATGGAAACATTGTTAAATTGACATCTAAGTCATCAAGTATATATTCTTATAACTAATTTTTTCAAAGAAATACTTTCTATATCAGACAACATATGTTTAATGTAAAATATTCTGATTTTTTTCCATCTTTAATAAAAAAAAATGTTTTTAAACAGATGGAAGGAAACAGAAACTAGGTAGAATATATCCACATTTTTAGTGTAAAACATAAATGGACCAAAGGTAAATCAATGACTTTTTTTTTTTTTATTAAAGGTAAATTATTGATTGAATATAAATACAGTCATGCAAAATGTGGACATTAATTGTTACATGAAGAAGATGATTGTGTGTAATTAGCTGCTTGTGTAATTGTCTGTTTACATGTTAGTTATGCACAATTTGACTGAGAGGGAAAATGAAGGACATGGGTTAGAATGACAGGTAAAGCAGCATGTGTAATTGGAAAGAGGTATAAAATCAAGTCTTTTTGGGGTTCATTTCTTACAAGGCTTCTTATGGTTTTTACTTTTGACATTGCATTATTCAAGGAAATACTGTGAACAGTCCTAAGTTGCAAACAAATCATGTGTTGTTAGAAAATCTATTTTTGCAGAAGAAATCATGTATTCCAATTTCTGGCAGAAAACATTCCTCACACATAAATATATATATGTTTTCAGATCTTTTGCTTTTTTGACTCTTTTTTTAACAAAAACATGTTTAATCTTTTATACATATAATTTGAATTTAGTGTTTCTGGATATTCGATACTGGATTTCAACTGAGAAAGCTATATGGATTTATCTCTGTTTAATCTACTTCCTGTATGATTAAACATGTATATTTACCGTATGTGTTTCTTCTGTTTCATGCACATGTGCAAGTTGTAAAATTTTGGTTCCATTCAACAGAGGACGTTGGAAGTGAAGAATTAAAAGCAGTAGCTCCTGTTATGTCTTGTTAAATTAAAGGATTAATCCATGAATTATACTTTTAATCAATTAACCATTAGTTTTGTAGTCGAAGGTACTTTTTCCTGAAAAATAGATTTTCTTATACATGTACAACTAAGCTAGCCACTGAAGAAAATTTACACATAAGTTTTTCAGAAAACAAGTAAGTCATTGAGGGATTTATTTTCAAAAATCACAAATTGGATCATTTTTCAAACTCGGTAGATTAACACACTGAATTCCCGTCACTATATTATAAGTCTTTGAAAAGATGTGAATCTAGGCTATATTGCAGCAGCATGACATCAGTTTTATTTGTTGTATTTTTTAAATGACACCAGAAAATAATAGTGGTGATGGAGATTGTTAAATGTCCAATTTTATTGATTTTTTTTATATTTTAGCAATAAAATTTGTTTTTAGTTAATAAGTGCTAGAAAGTGTTGTATAATCAGTGATTTGCACATCCTTTTAACACTACCGACAATGATCTGAAAAAGATTGCTTTTTCAAGATGTGCAAGTTATCTGGTACAACCTAATTTTTTGGTGCCAAGATTGTCCCATTAGATTTTAAGATGTAATAAGGTTGTCTTAAATGAAGATTTTAATTTAATTTTATTTCTTTGCCAAAATGGGGAAGAAAGGCAAATGAGGGGAGAGAACTCTAGATGTCTTTCAAATTACAGTATATTATCTCCCCTATGTTTGATATGTGAGAATTGTTACTGATTTGTATTTTATGAAATGATTGTACAGAAAGTGAAATGTGTCAGTTGTTTGATCTTGTGTACAATGAAGGGTAATGTGTGACTGTGTGATTCACTGTTTATGCAAAAGTGTGAGTTGGTCCGTCTTCTATCTGGTCAATCATGTCCTTTACATTTTAGATAAACTGTTTCTTAATCATGAGATTTTAAATGTTGTATATCTTAGGAAATTTTTTACAGAATTATGCTTGTAATATTAAGTCTTTTATATATTCAGCTGTAAAAGAAGCACATTTTATTTGTGGCAAGTATGCCAAAATATTTTTACTGTCGAAATAACAAGTTTTTCGTTGTCAGCTTTAAACACTTCTGTTGAAAGTAACACCATTTGGAATATAGATTACTGTACTTGTCCCTCTATAAGCCCCAATATCTCCCACCACCATCACTGGGGGACATTTTTTTTTCTGACAGAAAGTGTAAGATTGGTTAATTAGATTTTTTCAAAGTTTATTTCTAATTTTACAATTAGTGATAATTGAGTATATTTCAACCTAAGAATATCATTATTATGCTACAGAAACAGTTTACTTCCATCTTTATGGAACACATTCTGTCAGTTGAACCAAACAAAAAGAAAAATATTATAATTATACTAAAATTGTCAACCACAAACTTAAGACGATACATGTCAACTTCTGATAAGTTATTTGAAATAATAATTAGAATTTTTTATTTTCACTATTAACAAATTGATGAGGTGACAAGAGTTGACTTTTAGATAAGGGGCATATAAATAAGATAAATATAGTACAATAAATCAAAACTTGATCAAATCAGAAAATCTATGCAACTTATATGTGTTGGTCTTTGAATCCATCCATTTGTGATATTAAAGGATCAGGCTGACCAAATTCATTCACCTTGACATTGCTTGGTAACTTGAGTATAGAAGGAAGACACGAACATTTTCATTTAGTGTTATTCCTTTAACTACAGAAATCCACTAACCTTTGAACTTACTTCACTTTTTCTATACATTTTCTTATCTATTCTCTATTTTCTTCCTTTGAATGAAATCATCTTTTCGGAGTATGTAAATTACTTGTATAATATTGTATCATTGTAAAGTAATGTATCAGTTGAATGATACTAAATTCATTGGTAAACAACATTTTTATTGTGTTCATAATACATCATTTAAGTATTCTGAAGATCAAGCGTTGAAAAAAGTATTTAAATTACAATTTTCTATTTAAGGATTTTGTTAGTCTGACAATTAATAGTACTAGCCTTTTTAAATGCTAGTATCAGTGGCAACTTCCCTCTAATGCTCTAAAGAATGAAATGTTCTTCCTAGAAAATAGAAATCGGCATATTAAATTTGGTGTAATGGAACTTTATTAAAAGAATCAACTGTATATGGAATCAAAATATAAGAATATGTATTGACAAGATGTTTATTGTTATGGACACTTGGTATTTTATATAAGTCTTTCATTTTAATGGACCAGACAATGTTTTAAGTGTGAATGTGAGAGAGAGAATGTACAGTTAACCCTTCACACAGTTGTGAAGGATAATAAATTAATATTTTTCATGTGATTCTTTATTTTCTGTTATTGATGAGCCTTTTTAGAGTTTTATATTGGCTACACTTGTATGTTGGTGTCACACTTATGTACATGTTTGGTTTCATCAGTATTTATGGATGAATGCTCCCTGGTCAATTTTTATACGACCGTAACAAAATTGCGTTTGTATATTGCTATCATGTCGTCGTCTGAGGACATTTGGTTTCTGGATAATAACTTTAGTATAAGTAAATGGATCTCTATGAAATTAAATACAAGGTTCAAAAGCACAAAAGGAAGGTTGGGATGGATTTTGGGGGTTATGGTCCCAACTGTTTAGGAATTAGGGGTCAAAAAGGGGCCAAAAAAGGCATTTTTATAGTTTCCGGATATTAACTTGTGTAGTGTATGGATCTCTATGTAATTGTACCACAAGGTTCCATACCACAAAGGGAAGGTTGGGATTGACTTAGGGGGTTATGGCCCAAACCGTTCAGGATTTAGAGGCAAAAAAGGGGGGGGGGAAACAATGTTTTTCTGGTTAATGGACAATTAAGTATTAGTCTATGGATCTCTATGAAGTTGAAACACAAGGTTCCATACCACACACAGAAGGTTAGGGTCGATTGTGTGGGTTGTGGCTTTAATCGTTAAGAAAATAGAGGCCAAAAACAAGACATTCTAATACTGGATAAGCTGGTTCTAACATAAATTATTTCTGATCTATATAAAGAAACAACAAATACTGATATGGTAGGAGATATACACCAAACAGGGTGTGTAAATTATTATATATAGTTTGTAAACAGATTTACTAAGTATTGCACAACAGCAAGAAATCTTCAATTGAAAATAAATACAAATCTTTTAACCAATTTCAATGAGGATTAATTTTAAGTCTTGAATTGTTTGAGGTTTTTACCATGTATTACTATATTGGATATTTGGACATTTTTAAATAGGTCTACATTGAGGACCAAAGGGTCCAAAATTAGACTTTGTTCGATTTCATCAAAAACTGAATTCTGGTGGTTCTATGATATGCTGAATCTAACTGTGCATTCAGATTTTTAATTTTGGGCCCTATTTTCAAATTAGTCCATATTAAGGTCCATAGGGTCCAAAATTAAACTTTGTTTGAATTCATGGGTTTTTATACGACTGCAAAAAATTTTTTGGGATTGTATAATGGTATGGTGTCTGCGTCGTCGTCCGAAGACACATTTGGTTTCCGGACAATAATTTTAGTTTAAATGAATGGATCTCTATGAATTTTTTTAAGAAGGTTCAGTACCATAATAGGGAGGTTGGGATTGATTTTGGGGATGATGGTCCCAACCGTTTAGGAATTAGGGGCCCAAAACAAGCATTTTTCTAGTTTCTGGATAATAACTTGTGTATAAGTATTTTGATTGCTCTGAAATTGTACCACAATGTTTAATACCACAAGTAGAAGGTTGTGATTCATTTTGAGGGTTATGGTGCCAACAGTTTAGGAATTAAGGGCCAAAAAGGGTTAGTTTCAAGACAATAACTTGTGTGTGAGTGTATGGATCTCCCTGACATTGTACTACAAGGTTCCATATCACAGAGGGAAGTCTGG